ACGCAGATGTCTTCGCATGGACCCACGAAGACATGGTCTGCATCAATTTATTCATTAAAATAAATTGATTCTATAAATTTGAAAATGAAAAATAATAATGATAAAATTAAATTAATAAATAAAATATATTAAAGTACACCAGTTAAATTAAAATAAAAATAATATAAGATAAAATAATAAAGTATAAAAAATGGCAAAGTAAAATAAAGAAAATAATGTCATAAATCATATTAAATAATAAGTTAAAATAAATAAAAATATTAAATTATTATTGTTTGAATATAGTAAGTCAATAAATTATTTATATTATATTTTAAAATAATAATTGAATAAACTATTAATTATAATAATCTCAAATAATATTTATTAATTTATTATATTCATTTAAGATTTCTATTTATTTTAATTTATTATTTAATTGATTTATTATTTGATTTTATTTATTTTACTTTTAATTTTTTTATACATTAATATTTTATATTATAATATATTTATTTTATTTTAACCGGTGTACTTCAATCTAATTTATTTATTAATTTAATTTGATCGTTATTATTTTTCATTTCAAAATTTATATAATTAATTTTATTTTAATAAATAAGAAACATATAAATTATTTAAATTTAATTTAGTTTAAATGCACTCTACTATGACAATTTTTATCTTACTTTATTTTAGTTTATTTTTTATTTAATATTATATAATTTATTTTATAATATTTTACTTATTATAAGTTTATATCTTATTAATATAATTAAAAATTTAAATTAACTTTTAAATTTAATTTTATTTTTACATACCTATTGTCTATATAAATTAAGCGCTACTAAATTTAACACACAATTTGGATTACTGTAGTGGTTATAATGCCAACATACAATTTGGAGGTCCCAAGTTCGAACCCCAACTTTGCATAAATTTTTCACTGCCACGTTAGCATAAGATTGCCATGTCAGCAGCCACGTCAGTAGGAATCACCACATCAGCAGACAAAGTCAAAAATCTAGGGTTTATCACCACATCAGCAGAAACTGCCATGTCAGCAGCCACATCAACAAACAAGGCCTAATATTGGGCCCAATGATTCGAATTGCCAAAAAATAGTCAAAAGTGGTGCTATATTATACCAAATTCCAAAAGTTTGGTTAAAACGGCAAAAAGTTGTAAGGTCGTAATTTTTTCGACAATTAGGCCTAAATTAAGTAACTAATTCCCAAATAAGAAACCCTAATTTCAAAATCAAAAACATGAAACTTGACTAAAAACCCTAATTTACAAATCAGAAGCTGTCGATTCTCTACTTTCAAAATGAAGCTATCGGCGCTCCCTAATTTCCAAATTAGAAAACCCTAATTTTCAAATAAAAAATTCTAATTTTTCAAATAAAAAACCTTAATTACCAAATCAAAAGCACGAAAGTTAACTAAAAACTTTAATTTCCTAATAAGAAGATATCGAATTTTCCTAATTTAATTTCAAATGAAGCAATTGATACTTGACCAAAAAAACCTATTTTCGAAACTGCATAGCATAAGAGCCTTAATTTTAGGAATGCAACTATTGGCTTTCAATGTAGTAATCTTTAATCGTCGAGGATTCGGTAAGTACCTCATGCACCATCGAAACTTTTAATGTCTTCGAGAAGAGTTTTGTTGCAAATGGAAAACCCCAGCTTTGGAATATCGAAGATTTTTCCTCCAATCGGCTTCAACATTCAAGATAAGTAACACCTCTGTTATGCGAAATCGATACATTTACAAATTAATAGTTGAAAATAAGTAAAATTTTGGACAATCGTGGTCATGAAATTTGGAATTTTATCGCGATGAGAGAGAGGGAGTCGAGGTTCGAATACTTTTTGCTCTACAGATAGTTGGGTGGCACTTCTGAAATGACAGGGGCATAACAGGACGTTTGAAAAAATATACAAGAGGGTGTGACAGAATTTTTTAAATTACAAGGGAATAACGCGCAGATTTAGTATAATACAGGGGGCTTGGTGCAATTAATCGATGTATATATATAGGCTACAACAGAGATTTTAAGAAGACATTAAATTGGACTTTTCTCATAAGGACTAGACCATAGGCCAAGCCTACTAAGCCCAAATAAGAATAATACATTCATTCCACTAAAGAAGTATTGTTGAATAAACTCCTAATTTAATTTTCGAATTGTATTCGAGGCTCCAATAATAATTATTCGATTTATCTCCCAATAATTATTCGATTTATCTCCCAGTATTTAAGATAGAATGTCCATCAATTAATTATTACTGACAATCTAGATATAATTGACTTATTGAACCGAGACTAGTACCAATCATATCTTTATTATTATTCCAAAATAAATTCCACTTGCAGATTCAACATAATAATCATTAATGAGCTCATCTCGGGGACATCATCAATCTATCACACACGGTGACCGTAAATATTCGAACAACGCACCATACGTACAACACTACTACCCAAAACACAAAGATCTATCGATCCAGGAGAATGGATCTCGCTTTTGGTGAATCAAAGTAGCAGTTATTGTATGCACGTGCTTGTTTATATCTTATTGGTTAAGAGTACGCAATAATTAACCGAGACCTAGTTCATTCACGACGATCAATATAAAAGAACTTCCCCTCTGTGGGATCCGTTCAATGCACACATAGTGCTAGTGTAACTAATCAGTTAAGACCAACTGTACGATTAACAGTACAACCGTTCACGACAGGTTATTCATTTCCATATAGGTTGTGAACCTAGCATTTTTATTTCGCAAGTGACTGATAAAATGATCTTCTGTTCACCCGCTAATGAACAATTTTATCTAAGTCAAATTAACAAAACATAGACTATTTAATTAAACATGATTCTCATTCAAACGGGATCAGTGTAAATAACATCTAAAGTCAAGCTTTCAATATACACCAACAATCGCCCACTTTTACTAGTGTACTTCTTTCAATCTCTATTTTTAAAGAACTATTGTCCTAACTGCCATACATCAGACTCCCCAGTCTTTTATCATGGTCATCAACATCTTATGCCAGAATGCCAATCTAAAAGGATCTTCATGGTTCCCCAATCACTTTGCATCAACCCCCACGTCTTATAATGTTCACTAATGACAAAATTTTTAAAATGTGATACTATTATCTACCTTATAATTTTAATATTATATACCTACATATAACTTATAATAATTTAAACATATATGCATGTGCACAAGATCGATACTAGTTGTAGATATATTGGAAAAAATGGTCACTAAAGTATTTAGTGTTAGTGACAACTAGTGACGAATACTTATTTTCTCACTAACTAATGATAGTGGCAATAATTGTAGATATAGTGACCCAAAAAAAA